TTAGAAAAGTATTGTTATAAACCATGAAGATATCGATTATGCTCCGAGTCCAAGACTCGGAGTGATCAATTTCTTCATGTTTTATAAAAATATAAATTTTATAATACTTTTAAATTTATAAAAATAATTGAAGAATTGCAAAGAAATTTATTTAAAAAATTGTAAATAATTGAATTATTTTTGGAAAACTTTATTCAAATAGTAGATTTTAAAAAAGTAGAAAAATTGTTATAAAATTACTATTTCTTATCATAATTTGTTAACAAAATTCTCTTCATTTTTGAAAAAAAAAAATAATTTGCATCATTTTTATACCAAAATTTTCAAAATTAATTTATTTATAAAACAGTTTTTGAAAAAATTTTAAATATATTTAGGATAGAAATTCCTATAATTTCTATTTGTTAATTACGATTTTTAACTAGATTATTTAAAAATTTTGTTAAAAAATTTGCATAATTTATATTTTTTATTATAATTTTTTAACGAAATTTCAAGTATTGTTAAAAAAAAATTTTGAAAATTTCTTTTATTAGAAGAGGAAATTTTTAGAAAATGACCTTTATTAGAAAAAAGAAAATTAGAAAATTCTCTTCATTAGAAAAAAGTTTCTTAAAAATTCACCTTTATTAAAAAAAAATTTTTTAGAAAATAAAAAATTAAAAAATACATTTTAGAAAAACTACAAACGTTATTAAGTAGTAGAAGTCAATTTTAGTCAGTGAAAATTTTACTTTTAATTACTTTTATAGATTTACTTAAATTTGTTTTAAGGTACAAATTTTACTTAAAAGCTAATTTTTAATTTTTATTACAAGTATCAAGTAGTAGAAGTCAATTTCAGTCAGGCATATACATACTTCTTAAGTAGTAAACGTCTATTTAAGTCAGACCTAAATCCATTTTTTATTTATCAAGTAGTAGAAACGTATTTTAATCAGACGCCGATTATTTTTTTTTATTTTTTATTCATTTTTATTAATTTTTTTCTGTCGTGAAATTTTCTACCGTTTTTCAAGTGGTAAAGGTCGTAATTAGTCAGACAGGTTTTTTTTAAGAATATCTATATGAACTATAAAAGAACACACTCTAATCGAATTCGCAGAAGTTGAAAATTTATTACTCGCGAGGAAATGGATTATAAATTGTATACCTTTTAAATTATTGTTTACATATAAATTGTAAGCTTTCGAAAAGCTCATTGTTCCGCGGTGTTATAAACTATACGTGAATCCTATATACACACATGCACACGATATTATCCTTTCCCATACGATATTATCCTGAATTGAAACAAGGTGTAATCTCTCTGCCTCCCCATCAGGGTGCCAAATAGTCTTGTTATGTTATCTCACTCGCTGGTAAGTAAATTTACCAGATACTGTACAACACACCACTGGCTTTCACTAAAATATAATTCATTGCTTTAGTTTGCTTTTGAATATGTCTGCATTAGTTTTACAAAAAACTATATATAAAACACTTGCTTCCAAAAGACTCTCCTTGAATCTTCATTTATCTCTCATTCTACGCTATTATTTCCAAAAAAGTTAAAATAAAATGAAATAATTATTTCTATGTCAAAAATTTTAAAATTTATCAAAATTGTTCCTTTATACTTTATACTTTCGATAGAAAAGAATTAAAGTTCATTAAAAACGGTACTTGATATTTTTTTAATCTAATATTTTCTTATTCTATTTATTTTACGTAAGGCAAAATTTTTAAACCCTTTTTTTTATTCCTGCAAATTAAATAAATAAAATTAAATAAATAAAAAATTCCTTTTCTAATCATTATGTTTAACCTTAATATTTATTTATTATTATTATATTAATAATTTAATATAATTATTTTTTATTTATTAAGTAATTAATTTCATTTACATTTTAAGTAGAAGAAATTAATGTTGGTCAGACAAGCAAAAAATATAAATTATATTATTTTTATTTTAATATAATAATAAATACATAAATAAGGGAAATTTTTCCCCTTTTCTAAATTAGAGCAAAAAAAAAGAAAGGGTAAGAAAATAAATAACTTTGATATAAACTTTTCAAATGACAAATTAGGCCAGAATTTCCACTCTGTTGAGAATAAATGGGATTATCGATGTTTCTCCCATCTGACAAAATAATATATCTTTTAAATATTATTCCACCTTCATCAAGAATGTTAATTTTTCAAATGAACAAAAAATTATAATTTTCCAGTAAAATTTAAGAAGGAAAAAAAAATCTCTCGATTGAAGGGGATTAAAAGAGTGTAACTGAGAAAAAAAAACCTTCTTCTATGATTTGCATTTAATTACAAAGTATATGTAAAAAAGAAAAAATTTTTTTTTACCCCAGCTTTTAAAACTTAAAAAAGATAAAAAAAATACTTTACACACGAAGTAGTAAACGAGTAGAATGAAAAAGCGCTCTTAATCATTCTGAATTTAAAAGGATTTTTTTTTCATGCATTTTCAGTGAGAAACATGGCTTTCATTAATTTCAGGAATCTCTCTCTCTCTCTCTCTCTCTTTCTCCTTCTTTTTCGTGAATAAGGTACTTCTTATTTCTATGATTTTTTTAATGCTTCTTTTTTTGTTTATTATTATTTTATAAAGGTACAATCTTTTTGCATCATAACTTTTCTCTTTTACTTTCACGCTTTTTTAAATTGAGTGATTCAATAAATGTATTTAATTTTTTGGGCGTAAATAAATTAAATTAATTCAATTTTATAAATTAATACAATAAAATTAATTAATTAAATTAAATGACTACGAATAATATTAATTAATAATAAATAAAATAAATAAATATAGAATTCAATAAATACAAGTCAGTAAATAAATTAAATTAAGTAAATAAACATCAAGTAAATAAATTAAATTAAACACATAAGTAAAATTCAGTTAATAAATTAAATTAATAAATTCAAATAAAAATTTATTTTCTCTAGAGTAGTGTTGACTAATTTATTTGTTATTTATTTATTTATTTCTCTTTTACAATTGTTTTTAAATTTTAAAAATTTTAATTTTTTTCGACAGTAAAAATAAAATATAAAAGTATAAATTATAATTTTTAATGAAAATTTACAAGAAAAAAAAATTAGGTTTAAAAGTTAGGTTTACGATACAGTTCACTTTAAGTAGAAAAAATCGAGTTTGGTCAGACAATTATTTCAAAATGCTAATAATTTATAACCAATAGTAATTAAGTAGTACTGAGCAATTTTGATCAGACCAGTTTAAAAACATTTATTAAGTAGTACAACAGTAATTAAGTAGTAAGAATCAATTATGGTTAGACAAGTTTCAAAACGTTAATTAGTTATTAAGTGGTGGAGATCAATTTCGATCAGACCAGTTTGTAGACTCTAATTACTTATTAACTCCTAGTAAAGATCAATTTTTAATTTTTATCAAACTAGTTTCAACATATTAATTACTTTTTAAGTAGAAGAGATCAATGTTTATTGGACATGTATAAAAATATATTATTTATACTATTTTTTTACTACTGAAGATCAACTTTAGTCCATCTTGTATAAAGAATGAAAAATATTCAGATAAAAAAAATTGAGAGTAAAAAATAAAAAAAACATTAATAAAAAAATTATTAAAAGTGATATTTTTTCACTAATTGAGTAGTAGAAGTCAATTTTAGTCAGACGTGAATTTTAACACTCATATTAAATAGTATTTATTGTATCCATAGCATAACTATAGTTAATAATTGTTGAAAACTAAAAATTTACTTCTTCACATTAATATAATTATTTTCCGAATCTTTTCTCTATTTACTTTCAATTTTTAAGTGCAGTAATTCTATTATTTTGTAGAATATGTAAATAATTTTTAAAAAATCGATTTTTTTTCTGTATTGATGAGAATTATATTATCTTTTTTATAAACATAACTTTTCTTTATCTTTAGAGAGTAATAATAGTTTTATTATAGGATACTCTTTGGTTTTTCATTTGCCAATATAGTCACAATACCCTTTTTTTATTCCCCATTTTATCTCTTACGAAACTGGAGAAAATAAAAATCACTTTTTTTTTCATTATATTTATTCGCAATGAAAAAATGATGAATAATAAAATATTAATATTTAATATTAAATTTTTTATAATGAAGCACAGATTTCGTTTATTCATTAAATATATTTAATTTTCTATTTTAAACAAAGAACGAAATATAATGAATGTTGTAAAATTGAAAAATGCGATATGAAAACCGAATATATAACCTTTTGAATATTATTAATAATAATGAAGCATTGTATATATTGAAATCATTATTGTTTATACCTTTTTGGACTCTATTCGTATGCTTTATATAATATCGAGCCTTTTTATAATAGGCCAATTAAATTTTAAATATAATATAAAATAGCTAACTTTTTTAATAACTGTTTAATGAATATGGAAATATTGTTTTGTTTAACCAATACAATTTTTCTCGTTAATTAATATTATAAAATGACTTATTATATTTATTTATTTAATTTAAAAAATTTAATTAGATAAACAAAACAATATTTACTTTACTATTACACAATCTAGAAATCGATTTTTACTGCTATTAATTTTAATTTTATAATGTCTGACAATTACTTGATTATACTACTTAAATATTAAAAATATGATCAGTTACATTTCGTACTACTTAGGGGGAAAAAATTAATCCGATTTTTTTAAAGTCTACAAATGTCTGACTGTGCATGAGTTCTACTACTTAAAATTTGAAAATTAAGAAGTCTGATTAATATTATATACTATGATAATGACTCCACTTATCAATAAGAATTTAAAATTTAAATAAATTTTTTATTTGATCTACATTTTTGGCATTATTTTGTTGCCATAGGATAATAAATAAAAATTATTTATATAATTATTGTTATATATAATAATTCTCTAAATATGTTTATACATATTTTGCATCATTATATAAACGTACAGAGTGAAAATTCCACGTTATAATATATAATAAGTAAACTCACCCTTCATTTGAGACTTGGAAATTGCTGGCATTTTCTTTGTGACTAAACGTTCCGGTGATGCGGGCAAATTAAAAAGAACGTTAGCTGAAATTCTGCTCGTTACACTTGATGTGGAACTCGCTGCTGTCACTGAACTTGACGATTCACGTTGTAAAATTGTTTGCACACGATGCTCATCGGAATTTTGCAATCTAATTGTCAATGGATCAATTAGAACAGCTCGTATTGAGCCCATTGTCGTTGTATCGGATGGTACACGTTCAGTGGGCGATAATCGTGGCGTTAATGTTTTTGTTGACGAACAACCGCCCGCTTCCTCCTCCTCTTCGTCGTTGTTACCAGCTCCACTCGTTTGACGAGTCTTTAAAATAAAAACAAATGGAATGATTTTTTATTTATTGATATAAATTTAAATTTTAATAAGTAGTTGATATGAATTTTTTAGCAGACGGGGTTTTATTTTTTCATTATTAAGTGGTAGAGGTAATTTTTTCTTTATTTTTTAATATTTATTTTTAATAAATTTTATTTTAATAAATTTTTATTTTAATAAGTTTTTAATTAAAAAAAATTTTATTTTAATTTTTTATTTAAAGATATAAATAGAAATTTTAAGTAGAAGATATCAATTTTGAAGCAGACGGAATTTATTTTTTCATTAATAAGTAGTAGAGGTAAATTTTCGTCAGACGTCTCAAAAGTAGAAGTTTGAAAATTTAATAATTTAATTGAATAAATTATAAAGAAGTAGAAAATTATTATTTTAATCTGAAATTAATTACGTATTAAGTAGAAAACGTTAATTTTAGTCAGACGTCAATTTTTGTCTGTAAATAACAAATTCTTACTACTTTTAGACACTAAAAATAATTATTATCTTAATAACTATTGAGAATAACTATTGCAAGTAGTATAAGTCTGCTTAAGTCAGACATAAATATCCCTAAAAATTAAGTAGTATAAATGAAGTTCAATCAGACGTCAAGATTTAATTTAATCTTGTAATCTATGTAATCAGAATTAAATTAAAAAAAAAATTTGTTACACCTACTGATTCAGTAGTACAGGTAGATCAAAGCCAGACATTAATATTTCCGATTGGGGTGCAGTTTGTCTAAAATGTATTTTTTAATTTTTTATTTTCTAAAAAATTTTTTTCTAATGAAGAGGATATTCTAATTTTCTTTTTTCTAATAAAGATCATTTTCTAAAAATTTCCTCTTCTAATAAAAGTAATTTTCAAAAATTTTTTTTGAACAATACTTGAAATTTTTTGTTAAAAAATTATAATAAAAAATAGAAATGATGCAAATTTTTTAACAAAATTTTAAAATAATCTAGTTAAAAATCGTAATTAACAAATAGAAATTATAGGGATTTTTTCCTAAATATATTTAAAATTTTATCAAAAACTGTTTTATAAATAAATTAATTCTGGAAATTTTGGTATAAAAATGATGCAAATTATTTTTTTTTTCAAAAATGAAGAGAATTTTGTTAACAAATTGTGATAAGAAATAGTAATTTTTATAAAAATTTTTCTACTTTTTCAAAATCTACTATTTTAATAAAATTTTCCGAAAAGAATTCAATTATTTACAATTTTTTAAATAAATTTCTTTGCAATTATTCAATTATTTTTATAAATTTGTAAGTATTATAAAATTTATATTATTATAAAACATGAAGAAATCGATCATTCCGAGTCTTGGACTCGGAGCAATCGATATCTTCATGGTTTATAACAATACTTTTCTAAATTGTTTAATTTCAAAAAGGTTTGAATTTGAAATTTTTGAAAATCTTAATTCCTATGCAAAATTAATATTTAAATATTTATTTAAAAAAAGGTACTGCTGTTTTTTTTAATAATTTTGCAATTAAAGAAATTTGTAAATAAATATAACAGAACATTTTTTTGAGTAAAATTTTTTCCTTTATTTTCTAAAAATTCAAAAATTTTCATTTTCAAATAATTGACAAATAGAATTTATAAACATTTTTTTTCTTTTTTTTTAAAAAACTTTGGATGTTATTAAAAAAATTGTAATTAAGAAATAGAAATTATGTAAATTATTTCCTTCGGAAAATTGAAAATTTTTTACAATAATATTAAAAAAACGAGAATATGTAATGATTTTTTCCCAAAATAAAAGAATGAGTTTGTAAACAATATTATAATTGAGAAACAGAAAATATGCAAAATAGTTTCTATTTCTTAATCTTAATTTTTTAACAATTTTCTAACTTTTATCAAAATTATGGAATTTTACAAATTTTAGGAAAATGAATATTAGAAATCATAACTTTTTAGAAAATCTTTTTTTAGAAATCAAAATTTGTTAGAGTTAATGCCAGGGGAGTTAAATAAAGAGAGTTAAAATTTCACACCCAAATGCTAACTCCCCAAGGAAAAAATAACTCGCGCGGGTGTTGAATGAAGGGAATTAGAAATTAACTCTCTTTTGGAGTTGATTTTTAACTCGAAAAATTTAACTCCCAACTCCCGAGTCCGTTAACTCCCTAAATTTTTTACAGTGTATTTCCAGTTTTAAAATAAGTTGTAAAAATTAATTTTAGACAGACAACAATTTAAATCTTATTTGTGAAGAAATAAATATGTTTTAAATATGTTTTATTTTCTCTCTTTTAAGTAGTATAAGTCAATGTCCGGCATAAATTTTTACCTACTTATTAAGTAGTATAAATCAAATTTAATCAGACATCGGGGTTAATTTTTCTTACTGATTGATAAAATTTATCTTCTGACAAAAAAAATTTTAACACAAATTTTTTAAATAGTAGAAGTAAAATTCAATCAGACGTAACAGATATAAGGTGAGTAGTACAAATAAATTTTAGACAGACAGTAATTTAATTTAATTTTAATTTTAAAAGATGATAATAATTAATTATTAAAAACTAATTTTAATCGAACATGAACTTAATTTCATTTAGAAAGTAATAAAACTAAACCAATTAAACAGTGCGACTATTTTTAAACGGAGTTCAATTATGTAATAAGTAGTAAAAATCAACTTTAGTCAGGCTACTCAATAAGTAGTAAAAATAATTTTAGTCAGACATAAATTTTATTTTCACTCATTAAATAGTAAAAGCGAAATTTTCGTAAATTATTTTCCTGGTCATTAAGTAGAAGAATCGAAATATAGTCAGACGTCGATTTTTAGTAAACTTGTTAAGTGGTCAAATTCAATTTTAGTCGGACATTATTAATATAAACTTGGTTCTTAAGTAGTAAAAGTCAATTACAATCAGACGTATATTTTCACATTTTTTAATTAAACAAATTTTCAAAAGAGGGAAATTGTGTAATAAGTAGTAAAAGTCTATTTTAGTCAGACATAAATTATATTTTCGTTTACTAGTTTATAAAAAGGAAATTTTCTCCTACTCTGAGTGTATTTTTCCTATTCTTCTTTAAATCCAAAAAAAAGTTGAAAGGGAATTTTTTTTCTATTTCGTTTATAATTAAGTTTCAACAATGACACAATTTTTTTCCTCAAACAGTGTTCGATTTTCAATAAAGAAAGTGGTATGACATTGATTAAAGCATTAATTCTATTAGTTTGATTTGTCGGAATAGGTTTGATTAGTGGAAAGAAATGGGACACGTTCCTTCAGTCGGAGAGGCCAGAATGAAAATTTTAAAAGTCCTTTGGAACTTTCGTCATTAGCAGTAACCAAAGGGTTACAAACACTGAATTCACGAACTAAAGGAGAGAGATAGAGAGAAAAAAGAGTGAGGAGAGAAAGAAGAAATAGAAACTTACGCCTCAGATAGTTTTGAAAAGTCTTGCAAGTGATGTTTTTTGCTCGTGAAGATAAATTAAAAAAGTGTTTGACACAAACAAATGAATAAATACGAGTGAAATCTTTTATTTCCCTCTCTCCATTTTTTTTCGTGAATTTAATTAAAACAAATTTTCAAACTGTTATTAAGCTCTCATGAAAATCTGACTCGTAAACGATTGAAACTTTACTTATTTTCGGAATAAGTTTTCTCTCCCTGAGAAGAAAATGTGTGCAATGCTCTGTAAATATGCGCATTCTGAAAATTTCTGTTCGCAAAAACTTTTTACACTGAAAACTCTTTTTTATTTATTTTACACTCTGGGAATTTTTTTATATCAATTAGATTCTTAATTTTCGTTATTTTTTTAGTTTTATTTTTTTCAAAATTCATTATTTTAAATTTTTGTTGAAAAAATAGAAAGCGAATTGTTTTTTTTTAATATTTATTTTACACTCAGAAAATTTTAAAAATTTATTTTACACTTAAAAAATTTTAATTACCAAATCAATTTTTATCTTTTCTACACTTTTTTTGATGGAAATAAAAATTGGACTTGGTTTGCAAATTATATTAAAAAATTGTATAACAAACATTTTTACATTTTTTTGATAAAAAATATAAAAAAAAGAATAATGGGGAACATAATATAATATTTGTTTTTATCTTAAAAGAATCATTTTTAAAAAATTTCACTTTTTTAATTACCTTCTTTGGTAAAAAAAATTCACAAAGTTAATGATAAAATGGAATTATTCGTATGTTGAAAGAAAATGGAAAAGAAATGGTAATGACAGTAATTTTACCTTTTTAAAATTATTTTCTTCAAAAAAATTAAAAAAAATTCAAAGGTAATAATCATGACAAACAAAATTATTCGTATGTTGAGAGAATATTAAAAAAGTATTATTGGTGGTAATAATTTTGTCTTTTTAATTTACTAGCTAGTTGTAAAGAGTCGAAGAGCGACCAGCTACAGGTGGCCGATCATATAGAAAGGTTTTGTGGAGAGTCACCGGGTTAAATGGTAGAAGCATCAAAGAGCTTTGAAAGTAAATCCAGTGATTGACAAAATTTTTCTCTATAAATATTTTTTTCATAATTTTCATTCTTCATATAATTTATTGCCAGGAAAATATAAAATTACCTGAAAAATATTTCAACCTAATATTTTTTTCAAAAACAAAATATTTTAATATTTTTTTCTCTTATTCATTAATCATTATTTTCCTCTTCATTTTTCCTCAATTTTTTCCTTCTTTTCTCTCTATTTTTCTTTTTTTCTATTTTTTTCTATTTTTCTCTATTTTTCTCTATTTTTCTCTATTTTTCTCTTTATTTTCTATCCTTATTTTTCAAAAATTAATTTTTCCTTCAAATTATTAACTTTTAACTTTTCATAAAAATAGATTTTTATTTAGAAAAATGGTTCGTTTAGAAAAACATTTCATGAAGGTTGGATCGATTTCTTTTTTACTTTCATCATTACATAGTCCATTTACTGAAGTGGCTCTGGAACTGTTCCAAACTTTAGGGGTTTTGGATCT